CACACACACACACACACACACACACACACACACACACACACACACACCTCTCCTGAACTTTAGGGACTTTCCTAAGCTCAACCAGTCACTTCCCCTTCAAAAAACTCACTGAAAACATTAACATATGATTGGCATTTTCTAACTACAACAACCATTTGAATTTCCTAACCACAAACAAAATTAAAAAGAAGCGTTTCTCTTAAAACACTGGCAAACGTTGACCATGATCATCAAAGAGCCACCTTCTCCCCAGTACAAAAATTCCCAAGGGATGAAGTCCCTTGATCTACTAAAAGAGCAGATCTGATTTGGCAGGATTTGGGGTTGCAAGAATACAATCAAAGAATAGAACAGTTAATCAGAATACCTGCAGATAGAACTGGACCCCACAAAAGACACAGTTGGAGGATGACAGTGAAGATCCCCATTTTGCTGGGTCCCTCTCAACCTGAATGGAAACTCCTTGATATTTATAGGTTCCTGGCTGAATGAGGCGTGTCCCCCAGGTGGTATATTTCTATTACTACCATAAATCAATGTGAAGGAGGGACAGGACTTTGTTAAGTCTGTGGCTAATCTGTAGGAACAATTGAGGTGTGTTTGATTGATTGCCGTATGAACAACCTGGCCCCGGCCCAGCCAACGGCAAAAGCTCTGACATTAGAGATACCAATTCCAACTTCCTTCTAGGGCAGCCTCGAAGACTCCCAAGTGCTCCCTGAAAACGAGCTGGATTTTCATCTTGGAGAGTTTGAATTAACCTGTGGGAAGCAGGATGTGGGTTGCTGGGCAAATAAGGGACATGGTGCCAAGGGGCAAAGCATCTCTTTGGGATGACAGGTCCTGGCAGGACCTTCTCTGGTTGCCCTTGTGTGCATACCCTAGGCTCAGAGGAAAGAGATGGCATTTTTGATGACATGACTGGAGAGTAGGAGGCATGAAGGGTCATTCTACAGAGACCATGGGCCCATTCTGGCTTTGGCCACCACCTTCTAGGTCTCACGGTAATCCCATCACACTGGGGCTGAGAAACACATGAGCTCACACTGAACCACCTGCAAACATTTCACACGCTTTGATTTCTTGGCATTTCTTGGCATTCACACTGTGTGATGCTAAGAGCCTGGAAAACTCACAAAACCTGCCTCCAAGCTTTGCTGCCTTGCCCACAATCCCTCTCCTTGGGGTTGGTGATGTCAAAACCACCTCAATTTGCAAGATCCCCAAGTCTGCACCCCCGGTCTCTGACAATCCCCAGCCATCTACCAAGAAGACTGCCTGCATTGCATTTGTATTGAGACACACTCTGTGGGTGAGGAGTCCCAAGGGAGAAGCAGCTGGCGTTGCAGGGTCATCTACTATACCACGAGGGTGAGCAAGGCCCTCCCTGGCCGAAGGACCCTGACTTCTCGCCATGAGCTATCAATCCCTAGTCTCCATGTTACATTCTAGAAGGATATCTTGAAGCCAGGTTTATGTCAGCCACCCATCTGGATTCAGGACTGGACATCCGCCTCTGGCTGCATCCAGATAAAAGTCACAAAGCACATCTCTGCAAGGCAGGCCCACAGTGTTTTCTTCTCCTGCTGTCAGTATGACAGTTGAAAAGTACCAGGTGACAGGAGAATAGGGAGCCTAAGGCTAATCCTGGAGTGCTGAGCTGACCAGGATGCTGAAGTCGGGTCTGGGATCATCGAAGAAGAGTGCGGTGGCAGGTTAGCAATGTCTGCCTGACAGCAGGAAGTGGTGGAGGACTCCTGTGGCTGTGAGGGAGGAGGGTCCTTCCCACCCAGAGCAGCGGCAGGGGCCTGGTCTGAGACCTGGATCAGATGGTACACTCGCACACGTTGCTCTGGAGACCTACAGAAAGGCTTCTAGTCAGATGGCAGAGGCAGTCTCAGAGACGGGGTGCCTAAGCCGAGACGCCAAAGGCAAGCGGGTCAGCCAGCGACTGAGACTGAGAAGACGCGCGGAGGGCAGGAGGGACCTTCCAGGGCTGAGTGGGAACGAGAGCAGAGGCTTCCCAGTCAGTTGGTCCCGAGGCCACGGAGACTCATCAAGCTCTTGGATCACCTGAGCATCCCTCTTGGATGATTTTCCCAACTGCGTGGCTTGGGAAGCCCATTTTTGTTATTCTGGTGACCGCCTCTTTTCTCCATGGTGGTCAGCAGTAAAATCCCAAGAGGATGGGGGCTGGGAACTTCTTGTTCAGGGAGCCCCGGGGAGAAGGAAGTGGAGACAGCCTAGCTGTCCTTTCAAAGCCAGCCCAGGTAGGTGTGGGAAATGGGGGCCTGTCAGTGGGTCAGAAAGGATGGGTGGTCCTGGGCATGCGGGGCAAACACAATTGGACCGCTGCCACCTGCCACCACATGGTGCCTTGGGCTGTCACCAGGCACCCCTCCTGTCCCACTGCCCTTTAGCAAGGCTCTGTTAGAGAGGCCTCCTCCTGTGGAGAGGAGAGCTCTGGGGAGCACAGCCCTTGGGCAGCAGCCCTCACCGCTGCCCCTCCCTCCTACTGCTTGGAGCATGTTTGAAGGCAGGCCAGACAGAGCCCCAAGGCCCAGACTCCTCTTCACTGACACAGAACTGCCACTAAGAACAGAAGGAAGCCGGGCATGGTGGCTCACGCCTGGAATCCCAGCAACTCAGGCTGAGGCAGCAGGGTCACAAGTTCTAGGTCGGCCTCAGCAGCTCAGTGAGGCCCTGAGCAACTTAGCGAGACCCTGTCTCAAAATTTAAAAAACAAAAAAAAAAAAAAAAACCAGGGCTGGGGATGTGACTCGGTGGTTAAGCACCCTTGGGTTCAATGATCAATACCCAAAAGATAAATAAACAAAAGAGAACCACAGGAAGAAAGATTTTGAAGCACCTTCCCCAGTAACAGAGCCCAGTGACCAGGCCACTCCCTGGAATCCCAGTGGGTGGCCTCAGGGGGAAGGGGCCATTCGGGGCTCCTCCACTAAGCTGCAGAACCCTCCCCTGAAGCTGGGCCATTCCGCTGCCCACCTCCCACCCGCCTGCTCAGGCAGCTCTTCTTTCTGGCTCCACCACCCGCTGCCCACAGGGCGGCCTGTGGGCAGAGTTACGGTCTCTCCCTCTTCCCAAGGCAGGAGGCTGAGACCCTCCTGGGGCTGCCTCTTCCTGTAGCTGAGCTGGGCTCCCGGCTGGGCTTCTCCTTTCCTAAAGTGGTTTCTACCCACATGTGCCGGGAAGCTGGAGGGAGACCAAGAGGCAGCCAGGGCCCTCCCGCCTCCCTGGGGTCTCTGATTTCTGAGCCCAGGAGCCAGGAGACCTGACAGATGGGGCAGATGAGTCGAGGGAGTGAGAAGGACCAGGAGCCTCTATGGGGTAAGGAAGTGGCAGCTTGGGCTTCCAGCCACTGGAACCCAGAAGGCCCAGTGATGGAGGCTCCCCTTTAGGTGTCAGGTGGAGACCCTGCAATCTCACATTGCCCTCGTGGAGCAGCATGCCATAGCTGTTAGCCACTGGGCCATCTTGGATCATGGGCACAGCACCTACAGTGTCATGGGCACAGCACCTACAGTGTGCCCGGTTTGCAGTGAGCCCACCTTCCCCACCACACTACAAAGCTACCCGCCTCCTTCGCCCCACACCACACCACCCCTGCCATGCCCAGAGGAGCCACAGGGTCTGGGGTCTCATTGTCCCTAGCTGCTCCTCTGATGTCACAGCCCAGGTGGAGCAGGTGCTCTACAGGTAAGGGCTCTAAAGGGCTACCGAGAGCAGCTGGCCCCTGCTTTCAGGTCACCAACATGCAGCCCTCCGCTGAGGACCTGAGGTCCTAAGGGGGAAAGTGACGGGAAGAGTGGCACAGTGTCCATCTCCGCACTCGCTGTCGAAACCACCTCCCGTCAGGATGAATGAGTTCAGTGCTCACCAGGATGCACCCCAGCCACAGACTTTCAGCAACAAACACAGCCCTCCAACAGCCCTTGAAAGAGAGAAGTCCGATGGTACCCTGGCCATCTTTTTCAGAGTAAGGCTGAAAGCCCTGGTGAGGGTTCATAAGGCCCCTGTTCAACCAGATCCCATGGGCTCTCCCCCTCCCCACTCTAGCAGTAGTCAGCCTCAGGACCTTTGCACTTTCTTCTGCATCTACTTGGGAAACTCTTTCTCCAAATAGCTGCAGGCTTTTGTGCCTGCAGATTTTTTGCAATGCATCGTGTCCCCATGCAATCATTTGTTAGAAATACCAAGATGCCACAAGAAATCAAATACGTGCTTGGAAGTGGGTCTGCCAGGCAAAACTATATTTCTGCAGAAGGGTGCGCCCCCAAAGGGAATCCAGTGAGCAAGCACACCTGGGTGGGCAGTCTGCCTGCTCTTACCCCTAAAGCCTACTGTCCCTTGCTCAGCTAGGAGGAGTTAGGGGTTACGATCTATGCTGATTTAAACTTGGGGAGGACACAGGAAAAGGGACATCCAAAACATGTTTGTGTGTTAAATTATAGCTTTAATAGAAAAGAAGACATTCATATGACAATTTCCCCCCTCTGTGATCAATATAAATCATTTTCTTCAAATTCGGAGATCTTCTGACACTCTTGTTCAACTATATCTCATACAGGAAGGCGATTTTGATGTGAGATGGTAGTTGGGTGACAGTAGTCTCTATCAGTTGTTGAATAACACCTCTCATTCATGGAATCATGCACCGTCTCACTGCGGTCATGACTCCCGCCCGGTACAATAAAGAATGTGGTAATGAATGGGGTTATTGGTTCTTTCCAGTCACCAAACCATTGCTGCATTAGGTTAGCGAATGGGTGTAATTCCTGAGTTTCCTGCTGACACCACACTAAAGCCATTCTGTTCCCCATGCCATTGCACTGGGAGAATCTATTTGTTCTGCAATTCCCTTGAGAGCACCTCTGGTATCATTAAAATAATCCTTCGATGATTATAATAAACGTAATTGATTTATGTTTTTATTTATTGGAGACCATGAAAAGAGAACTGATTCAAAACCTGCTGCTCTCTGATTTCTGGCTTTGGGCTCATTAGGAACTCCCTGAGGGACTTCAGTGGGATCTACATAAACACAGGGGTCAGATGACTCACCTGGGGAGGAGAGTCCCCTTTTCCTCCCAGGGGACTGAGGTTGATTTGATCTGAGAAATGCCAGGGCGTAAGGTATAGCCAGTTGAACCAAAGCACAGGTTCCCCTCCAATTGGCAGGGAAAGGTAACGGCCCTCCACAGTGCCAGCTCGGGCAATAGCAAGTGCTGTCGGGTTAGATATCTCCACAAAGGGCCGGCTTCATTGCATCCAGATATATTTCCCAAGGAGGCCAATTGTCCCCCACCTAGAGAGGTGTGAGGGGTACTTTGTTCCAAGGGAAGGAGGTCAGCTGGTCTTTGGGGCTTTTGCCTTGGGCCCTTGATGGCCAGGAACGACAATGACAGGGTCTTG